TGGGGTAAGACTGGGTGAATAGAAAGGGTGGCACATGGGGGTGATGCTGTTTTTGGTCAAAAACTGCTGAACACTCAGCACGGTGTTGGCAGGTTGCTCATGTAAATCACCCATCATGAAATGGGCAAATGTGTTGAAAAACTCTCCAAAAAAAAATAAAATTCACTGAAGCCGAAAGTATCCTCTCACAATGCTAGTTGGTACACTGATGCTGGTGGGTTTCTAGAACAGTAACCTAGTAGGGGAAAGGTCCACCCTCCAAAATATAATTTTAAGACTTTTTGGGTCCTCCCTTGTATAAATGGACAAATAATAGATGTCTAGTACTTTGTCTCCTTTCACTGACTTGGGGACAAACATATTAGAAAGAAAGAAAATACTATCTTATATTAACAAGTAACAAAACATTTGTATTCACAGCTCTAGTATATGGTTTTGGAATTCAGTTTAGACATAAAGCTCTTAAGACTTTTTATGGGGGATTGCATAATTATATAAATCGCCATGCATTGCTGGCAGAGTACCATAAATTACAATTTTGGGGGTGCAACAGTGACTATGAAACTGGGAAAACTCTAATTATGCTTTTTTTTTTTTAACGTTGGAGTCTCACTCTGTTGCCCAGGCTGGAGTGTAGTGGCATGCTCACGGCCACCATAGCCTTGACCTGCTGGGCTCAGGCGATACTTTCGCCAGCCTTCCAAGTAGCTGTAGCCACAGGCACGCACCATCACGCCCAGCTAATTTTTTGATTTATTGTAGAGACAAGGTCTCGCCAAGTTGTCCAGGCTGGTCTCGAACCCCTGAGCTCAGGCAATCCCCTCGCTTCGGTCTCCCAAAGTGCTAGGATTAACTACACGCTTAAGCCACCACAACCGGCCTTAAGCTTTTCTTTTTTTTTTTTTTGAGTTGGAGTCTCACTCTGTCACCCAGACTGGAGTGCAGTGGCCGCTCCCGGCCACTGCAGCCTCCACCTGCTGGGCTCCGGTGAGCCTTCTGCCTCAGCCTTCCAAGTAGCTGGAACTACAGGCGCGCACTACCACGCCCGGCTGATTTTTTGATTTATTGTAGAGATGAGGTCTCGCTGCCCAGGCGGGTCTCGAACCCGTGGGCTCAGGCAATCCACTCACCTCAGCCTCCCAAAGGCGCGAGATTACAGATTGAGCCATCGAGCCCGGCTTGGCCTTAAGCTTTTCAATAGGAAAAAAATAATACTTACAAGCGAACATTACTTTTGACTGGTAAATTGTACTGTTTCAGGAGTTTTGGCTGATCTAGAGATTTCATGAACAGGGAGTAAATGTGTTGGCAATTAAAATCTTTTTTTTTTGGTGTGATCTTGTAAGGACAAATATTAATTATTCAAATGTCCATTGAAAAGTAAAATAACCTAAAAATTATGTACAAAATCATGTATTTAAGTATTTATTTTAAAATCCCCTTTTCTAATTGAGTGGAAAACATTATTTAACAGGTAAATCTTTACAATACTAAACTATACTGAACAATATGGATATAGGATTACTTTTCATCATTTTATTTAGTCCACTTTTCTTTTTTTTTTGAGTTGGAGTCTTACTCTGTCACCCAGACTGGAGTGCAGTGGCCGCTCCCGGCCACCACAGCCTCGACCTGCTGGGCTCTGGCGATCCTTCTGCCTCAGCCTTCCGAGTAGCCGGAATTACAGGCATGTGCTACCACGCCCAGCTGATTTTTTGATTTATTGTAGAGATGAAGTCTCACTGCCCAGGCAGGTCTCAAACCCGCAGGCTCAGTCAATCCACTCACCTCAGCCTCCCAAAGGCGCGGGATTACAGGCTGAGCCACTGAGCCCGGCTTATTTAGTTCACTTTTACCATGCCAAATGTTTTTCTTTTTTTTCGAGATGGGAGTCTTGGTCTGTTGCCCAGGATGGAGTGCAGTAGTGTGATCATAGCTCACTGTAGCCCCAAACGCTTGGGCTTAAGCGATCTTCCCTCTTCAGCCTCTCAAGTAGTTGGGATTACAGGTTTGAGCCACTGCATCCAGCAAATGTTTCATTTATACTTTTATATACTAAGGATTACTAATCCTTCAAAAATTTTCATTGGAATACATTATTACAGATAAAATACAGTTTCTTTATACGAGTTTGTGATTTAAATTCATGCTACTGTGTTCAAAAGCCTCAAACAGAATTTAAGGTGGTCTCAAGTTGGTAGTGTCCCCAGGTGCCTGGCAGAAACAAAGGAGTATTTTTTCCAAATATGTCACATTTCAACCATTAAAACCAAGCCTTCCCTTGCCCCTAGTTTCCCTAGGAGTGACTATTCCACTTATATGCCCCTCTTATATGTACTGTAAGTACTAGAAAGAGTTGCAACTTCTGAATCTTGCCTATTCCTCTCTTTCCAGCCTCTTTTAAACTCATTCAAATCATTCCAAGGAAATTTTGGCACATCCTTCCAGGTGCTTAGGCCAGGAACCTTGGGATAATCTGACTCTTCTTCAAACCCTATATCCTTAACTGGGTGTGGTGGTGCACGCCTGTAGTCCCAGCTACTCAGGATGCTGAGGTGGGAGGATTGCCTGAACCCAGGAGGTCGAGGCTGTGGTGATCTTGTCACACCACTCCAGCCTGGGTGACAGAGGGAGATACCAACTCAAACAAACAAAAAAGCCCCATATCCTATCCTTCAGAATGTGTCCACGTCTTACCCTGCACTGCTAATACTCTGCACTGCTCTAAGCTGCCACCATCCTGCCTGCCTGGTTTACAGCAACCACCTCACTAGTCTTCCTGCATCCACTGAAGTCTTTTCTTGACAAAGTAGCTCCAGTGATTCTTCTGAAATGTAAATTAGATCCTATTACACTTCTGCTCACAATGACTTCCCATTTCACTTAAGTGAAAGTCAATCTTTATGATAATCTGAAGGTCCTTGTCTCACTCCTTATAACCTACCCCCTTGCTTGCTTAGGACATGTTGGCCTCCTTGCTGTTCTCCCAACAGGCAAGCTCCTGCCCCGGGACTCTGTACTGCCTGTTCCCTCTGTATGGAATGCATTTCCTCTTCCTGAGTGTCTATGTCTCTTGCAATTCTTGACTCAATGAGGCCCACCCTGATCACCCTACTAAATATGGCAATAAATCTCCCCTACACTCTCACCTTCCATTCCCCAATTTTTTTCCATAGCAGTTACCAACTTTTAACATATATAGTTTTTATGTTTGTCTCCTAACCCATCTCCCCTTGTGTGGGGTGAACAGTCACAATGTCTGCCCCTTACTTTCTAAGGGTTCCGTCAGAACAATGAAAGGTTTGGGATCTATTGAGAGTTATATGATTATATCAGTGGGTCTGAAATAACGTGTTTTTATTTTATTTATTTATTTTTGAGTTGGCATCTCACTCTGTCACCCAAGTTGGAATGCAGTGGTACGCTCATGACCACTGAAGCCTTGACTTGCTGGGCTCAGGTGATCCTTCCAAGTAGCTGGAACTATAGGCGTGTGCTAACACACCCTGCTAATTTTTTTGGTTATTGTAGAGATGAGGTTTTGCTGAGTTGCCCACACTGGTCTCGAACCCGTGGGCTCAGGCAATCCTCTCGCCTCTGCCTCCCAAAGTGCTGGGGTTGCAGGCGTGAGCCACCATGCTTGGCCACAACATACATTTTTAAAAATCAAAGTGTAAAATGGCAAGTTGTATATTTTACCATAATTTAAAACAAAAGAATAAAGAAAGTCTCAGAGCTCCTGTAGAGTATTTCAAAAGATTTTTTTTTCAGTTATGTGTGAGTACTTATATGTACTCGGTTCTAAAGTATGATGTATTTCTATCAGTTCTGATAAAAAAATGAATGAAAAAAATTACTGTGGGGAAGTTCTGCACACACTCATCAGTTGACATGCACAAAATAGTTCACAGCAGCACTGTCAGAGCAAAAGCCCGAAAGAATTCAAATGTTAAGAGATAGTAAAATGGACACACAAATGAAGTATATTAAACAATGGAATACTACACAACAGTGACTGAACATCTACAGCCATCGGCTTTTCTGTGAACGAATCCCAAAAGCAATGCTGTGAGAGAAGCAGATATGCGGGAGGAAAAAATACAATTCCTCAAATAAAGTTTGAAATCGAACAAGTTAGTCTTTAGTGATACATACACAGGTGGTACAACTATAAAGAAAAACAAGGCAAGATGATACACAATTTAGAAAAATTATTAAAAACCTAAAGTCGTTAAAATAATTCAAGGTTTAAGAAACGGAAATGTTTTTAGTATTTCCCAAGTACTCGTATCGATTTCCTGATCTTGCCCGTCCCAGCTCCTAGGGTAGCATTTGGCGCCAGTTGTTTGTTTTTAAAGGACTGACTCATCTGACAATTCGTATGGGCTGCGTCAACTCTGTCCCAGAAAAGGGGATCACTTTCAAGGCCAGTGCCTGGCAACGCTCCGACCACAGAGCTCATCAACTCCTTGCTGAATGAATCAATGCACGTTAGCACATACTAGTTCACTTGAGCACTTCTCATTTTGGTCCACCTTCTTCTCGTGGCTTCGGTCCGTCCCTGCCCAGACCCGTACCGCCTCTCGCAGGCGCTAAAGTCGCCGGGTTCCTAGTTCCCGCCGCTCAGAGGGAGTTTTCTCCTGGCCTCCGCGCTGGGTAAGCAGGGTGGGATGTCTGGATGGCGACAAAGGCGCTTCCCAGGTCCCCAGGCGTGTGAAGAGGAGGCGGCGGGTGCAGCTTCAGGAGGACGACTCAGCCCGGACGCCGTAAAGAAAGCATCGCGCGGACCGCTACGTCGCGGTCAGGCCAAACCCGGAGGCTACCGTCCACCCCTAGTGACGTCACGGCCCTCCGCACTCCCGATTGGAGGAGCTGCACTCGGGCATTTCTCGCGATGATTCTTCCGCGGGTTCCCCAGCCTCCCTGAGCCGGTAGTCTACCGCAGACCGCGTAGCGAGCCACGGAGTCGCCGTAGAACGCAACCAGCTTCCGGGACCCGGCCAGACGGCGGCGACTCTTCCCAGACGCCCACGGGCACGAGGTTTGGCTCCCAGGCGCGCGCCTGCCAGCCCCCGCGTGACTCTCCGCCGCTCTGCTGGGCCCTGCCCGGCTTGCTCGGGCCCGCCTGGAGAGTCACAGCGATTCCCGTCTCGTAGCGTCGCCAGAATTTGGCGACTGTGAAACTGATTTCCGGTCGCTTGGGTCTCCATGGAGATAGCTCTTTAACCACGTTCCTCCCTTGTCACGCCTCGAACTGCACGTGGCTCGGAAATCGCCCAGAGAATGTTTGTGGGAATCGGCCAAAAAGGTGTAGGTGGGAGTGAAGTGGGGTTCGAGAGGGAAGCAGTAAGTGGGAGTCAGGAGGAGTGTGATTTCCCGGGCATCTCTGGCCATGGAAGCGGGGCCTGGCAGTGGACACCGGCTTCTCCCAGTTGGAGAGCCCCCGCATCGTCAGGACACACGTTTAGGCATCCATTGAGCAGGCGTCGTCACCGAATCTACTTTTGTGTCATCCTGAGAGTTCCAAGAGCAAATCCTGCTGCAAACTTGCTCAGCATTCACCAGAGAATAATCTTCCAGTTACACTTTTCAGTCCCTTCTAGTTTAGTGTCACAGCGACTTTCTCGGGAAGCGAGCCTCAATTGTTCTCCTAGACTGACCATCCCTTTTCCAATGACTCTGTGCCGGTGCTTTTCTGGCTGTGTCCATTTTTGGTTAAGTAGTTGCTCATCGGCCATTCCTGTATTGATTACTTCTTGAATGGACCGTGGGTTCTTCAGTGCCAGGACTAGCCTGGAACTTAGATGTAGAGTGGACTTCAGATATCAGATAAGCCATCTTCCTGCCCTTGAAGGCACACGTATCTCCTAGAGCATCTTTGACACATGTTTATTTATTGTTTGTTAAACACCTAGTATGTGTCAGGCACTGTTTTAAGAATTGAGAATGGAAGCCGGGCATGGTGGCTCACGCCTGTAATCCCAGCACATTGGGAGACGGAGGCAAGAGGATTGCCTGAGCCCAGGGATTCAAGACCAGCCTGGGTAACTTGGTGAGACCTTGTCTCTACAATAAATCAAAAAATTAACTGGGTATGGTGGTGTGTGCCTGTGATTCCAGCTACTTGGAAGGCTGAGGCGGAAGGATCGCCTGAGTCCAGCAGGTCAAGGGTGTGGTGGCCATGAGCATGCCCCTGCACTCCAGCCTGGTCGACAGAGTGAGACTCTGACTCAAAAAAAAAAAAAAAAAAAGAAAAAAAAGAATTGAGAATGGAAACAGTGAACAAAGATTAAGGTCACTGCCTTCATTCAATTTGCCACTAGGGGAGACAGACAGTATACAAATTTACAAGTTCTTGTGATTTCAGTAGTAGTGAGTACTGTGGAGAAAATAAAGTAATGGAAGTGGTGTGTGTGTGTCAGACTGGTGGCATTTTAGAGTAGTCATGGATGGCTTCTCTTAGGAGATGATATTTGAGCAGAAACGTGAATGATGAGGAGTAAGACTTGCAAAGATGCCTTGAAGTTAGGATTAACAGGAAAGAGGTATTGGGGAGTGTAAACTCTGCAGATGGGAATAAGAGCATTAGGAAGTTGCAAAGCTCCTGAGATGGTGGAGAGGAGAGGAAGGCAGGTCCGGATTATTTAGGGTCTTGATGGCCAAAGTCTCAAGTTTGGATTTTATTCTAAGTGTAATTGGAAGCCCTTGGGAAGTTTTGAGCAAGAGAGTAACTAGGTTTGATTAGAATTTTTAAAAGATTGTTTTGTTGACTGAAGAGAAAGGACTCTGGAGGCGAAGATAGAAATGAGGAGCCCAGTAAGGAGAAGTCTAAGAGAAAAGTGTTCAGTCAGCTTCTATTTGGGTATTCCCAGTCCTGAGGAATTCTTTTTTTTTTTTTTTTTTCAGTCGAAGTGTCATTCTGTTGCCCAGGCTGGAGTTGCATGGCATGCTCATGGCCACCGCTGGGCTCAGGTGGTCCTTCTGCCTCCGCCTTCCAAGTAGCTGGAACTACAGAAGTGCGCCACCACATCTGGCTAATTTTTGATTTATTGTAGAGACAAGGTCTCACCATGTTGCCCAGGCTGGTCTCAAGCCTCTGGACTCAGGCAATCCCCTAGCCTTCGCCTCCACTTTCCAAAATGCTGGGATTAGAGGTGTGAGCCACCGCGTCCAGCGAATTCTCTGTTTAAAAAGTAGCCCATTCCAAAGTGGGACCATAGAGTTCTTCCCTTGTATTGAGCTGGAATCTGTCTTCCTGAAGCTTGCACTGACTTTTTACTAATCCTATATAGCAAAACAAGAGAAATCTGCTTTTTCTCCGAAACAGCCCAGCAGCTATTTTAAGGCACTTGTCCCATCCTCTTTTCTTTTCTTTTCTTTTTTTTTTTGAGTTGTAGTCTCACTCGGTCGCCCAGACTGGAGTGCAGTGGCACGCTCACGGCCACACCAGCGTCAACCTGCTGGGCTCCAGCAATTCTTCCACCTCAGCCTTCCAAGTAGCCGGAACTGCAGGTGCATGCTACCGTCTTCTTTTCTCCAGGCCAGACACCTTGGGTTAACTGAGTTTTCTAAAAAAGTGCTCTCTAGGCCCTCAGAAATCAGCTCCATAGTTTGTGATGACTCTTCAAAGTATGACCGCCTGAATTGCACCTGACACTCTATGTATCAACTGACCAAGGAATCACATGCTCCCTTGATCTGACTGACTTTTCCTGCGGGTTTTAGCTGTCATGCTGTGCTGTTGGCTTGCATATTGAGCTGTTTCAAACCAAGTTTTGCCTCTGCCTCTCCATCCTGGACTCTGTGTATATGTGTGTGTGTTGTGTGTGTGTGTGTGTGTGTGTGTGTTTTCCCCTGATTTAAATGCAATTCTTTAGATTTATTTCTGTTGGCAAATTTCTTTATTTTATTTTATTTTTTATTTTTTTGAGTTGGAGTCTCATTCTGTTGCCCAGACTGGAGTGCAGTGGCTGCTCCCGGCCACCGCAGCTTTGACCTGCTGGACTCCGGCGATCCTTCAGCCTCAGCCTTCCAAATAGCTGGAACTACAGGCATGTGCTACCACGCCCGGCTAATTTTTTTTTATTTATTGTAGAGATGAGGTCTCGCCAAGTTGCCCAGATGGGTCTCGAACCCGCGGGCTCAGGCAATCCACTCACCTCAGCCTCACAAAGCGCGGGATTACAGACTAAGCCACCAAGCCTGGCTGGCAAATTTCATACAGCTAATTATTCCAGTTCATTGAGTTAATATAAATCCTGATTCTATCATCTAACACATCTTCCCAGGTTTGTCTTGTATAAATGTACTATGTTATGTCTTTTAAACACTGCTAAAAATGCTAACCATCAAGGGGAGAGCTCTGTGGCTTTTCCTTAGTGACTTCTTTCCAGATTGCCTGGTACTGTGAGTGTGTAGTATTTGAGTAAGGTTGTTTAGCCCATTATGAATCCATTAATGTGTTAACTAAAAGCAACATACAAGGATAGTATGCAAAAGTTTCCTTTTTTTTTTTTTTTCAGTTTTGCAGAAATCAAGATACAGTGGTGAATCTCCTGATCTGTCAGTCTAACAGGTCACTGAGGTTAGTTTCATGCAATTAATTTTTAAAAACCTATGCTGGTTTATTTTTACTAAAATGAAGATTTACTGTATTTTAAAATACAAAGACTGAGTCATAGTAGGTAAATGTAACTTTAGACAATAATAAACTTTTCTTGAATGTAAGCAAGTTATCCTTTTTTCAGAGCGAAAGCCTTTAGACAGTAGTTCTCATTCTGTTGCAGTTTTGCTCCTTAGGGAACATTTGTGCACCGTTTGGAGACATATTTGGTTGTTACAACTTGGGAGGGAGGAGAGTGCTACTGACATCTAGCGGGTAGAGGCCAGGGATGAACTAAACATCCTACCACACACAGGACAATAATACCTCTCAACAGAGAATGATCTGGCGGAGATGTTGGTAGTGCTGAGCTGGAGAAAGCCCACGTCAACAATGCCTAAAATCTTCTTTCTTACAGTGACTACTGCTGATTCTATTCAAAATGGGTGCAAAGAAGAGAGAAATGCAAGTTGCTGCACTGACCATTTGTCATCAAGACCTTGAAACTTTGAGATGTAGGTGATTTCTGATTCTACTTATTTAATATAACTTCTAGTTTACAAGCAGAGTATCTTAATCTCTGAGGCCCCATATCACATCATGTTTCAGTTTTTTCTATTTAAGTTTCCATGCTTCCTACATTTAGTTTTTGATGTAATGATTTTCTTCAGATTCTATCTTCAGACTAAGTTCTACCTATTTTTTTGGTTTATAATTTAAAAACTTTGTAAAATGCATAACAGAGGCAAACTTATATCCAGATATTGTTAAATCACTGAAAAACAATGTTTTAATATGTTACATAGCTTTTGCTGATGTGGAAGGAAAGAATCTAGCTTCTTTGCTGTTACGTTGTGTACAACTCACAGATGGAGTGTCACAAATCCATTATGTTAAACAGGTAAGCTTGAGTTGATATTCATGGAATGCATCTTGAAGATTATTATGCTATTAGGATTTTTTTAAAAAAACTAAGTTTTTGGGTCTCAGTTATTTCATATCAGTTTATCATTAGATAATAGTTATTCTTTTCTGTTTATCGTATAATATTCAAAGCAGCAATAGAAACCATATTTAGGGCCTCTACCGTAATTGGAGCTATAAACAGATGGGATAGGAAATAATTATGCATTCCTTTTTTGTGGAGATAAAATTTTAAAAATTGTTTCTATTAATCTGACTCTAAAACTTTCTAGCAGGCCCATTTAAAAGTTAATTTAAAATATAATGACAATTCTTACTTCAATATTAGGATTTATCATTTGAGTGTGCATAATATTTTTTGGAAAGCAATTGCATATATCACTGGTTTGTTAATACTGCTACAGATTTTCTGTACCTTAGGCCATTAACAGGTCTGTGATTCTCATTGGAGCGGAGTCTGGAGGATAACAGGAGAGTTGGGGGCATAGTTTTAAAAAGTTAATAAATAGTAAAATAGGTGTTTAAGTCAGTATCTTTAACAATGAAGTATGGAAAGCATCTCTCATTATAATTGAGTCTTGAAAGCATATTTGTAATCATGTTGCTTGATATTAGAAAAAATTACTTTGATTTTTTGGCTTATAGATTGTGCCTTTACTGGAGAAAGTAGATAAAAATGGCCTGTGTGATCCCACTATTCAAAGTTGCTTGGATATTTTAGCAGGCATTTATCTTTCTTTGAGTCTAAAGAATCCCTTGAAGAAAGTATTGGCAAGGTAAGAAAAAGAGAAGGGAAGTTGGGTGTTAAAAATGTTGAATTTGGCCAGTGGTAGACAGAGTTTCTTCCCTGGTTTGATAAAACTGAAATGCAATATATTACTACAAATTTCATTCATATGGTTTTGTCTTTGCTTTGACTGATTGACTTTAAGTCTTCAAAAATGTAAAATGCCTTCTCAGACCTCAGGCCTTAAAAAACAGACTGTGGGCCTTGGTCTGTGGGCCATAGTTAGCTTACTCCTGGCTCAGTCCGTTTGCATTTATTGGTTATATTTAAATCTGTCATTTTGCTACTTTTTCCTCTATTTTTTCTATCAGTTTTTAGTTTATTTCTTTTAGTTTTTATTTTAATTATTTATTTTGAGGTGGGGATCTTACTCTGTCGCCCAGGCTAGAGTGCAGTGGCATGATCATGGCTTACATGTTCCAGAATTAAATTTGAATGTAGTATGAGGTAGGGATTTAACTTAATATTCCTTTCCATATGCAAAGCCACTCATTTCCAAACTGCTGAGGAGTCTACCTTTCCTCATATATCTGGAATGCCACCTTATTATGTTACATGTTCCTGTATACACATGGATTTTATTTTAGACTTGAGTCTCTTTGCTCGTATACCAACACTGTACTTCTGTTTACTGTTGTTTGATAATGTGGTTAAATATGTAATAGGGTAAGTCTCCCCTCTAGTTATTCCTTTTTTTTTTTTTTCAGAATATTCCTATTTTTGAATTTTTTCTTCCAGAACAACTTTGAACTATTCAGTCAAAATTTTTAAAAAGCCTGTTGGTTTTGATTTAGGTTAATTGAAGTAAAATTGACATAAGTCTAATTTATCCGTTCAGTAAATTTTTATTGATTGCCTACTATGTTTAGCACTCTTCTAAGGATTGGTGATGCAATGAATAAAATAGTCTAGAATGGAGACATTCTAAGGGGAAGATAGAAAATAGACAAAGCCAATAAGGATTTTACATGAAATATTGGATGGCATGAATTCTGTGGCGAAAAATAAAGCAGAGAGGGAGGAAAGGGAGCATCAAGGATGGGGTGAGAGTTACAGTTTAAAATATGACCATCACTTCAGACAGCTTGTTCGGATGTGATAAGGTGATGCTTGAGATTGACCTGATAGGGTTGATTACTGGGTATTTTAAAGCAGGAGAATTCTAAGTGGAGGAAATAGCAAGAGTGAAGACTTTGGCATGTCAGAACAGAGCAAGGCCATGTCACCGGAGCTAAGTAAACAAGGATCAAGATGAGGTCAGAGAGCTAGTGGTGGGACCAGGTTGTGTGGGGTCGTGTAGGTCATTGTGAGCACTTTGACTTCTACTTTAAATGAGAGGGAGGTTGTTAGAGGCTTTTCAGCAGAGAAGTACCGTGGTGTTTTAACAATATCACTCTGGCTTCTCTGTTGAGAATAATCTGGGGAGGGGAGAGAAGCAAGGTGGAAGCAGGGAGACCAGATGAGATGATGAACCAGGGAATTCCAGACATTGTGGTGTGGCGTTGTCAAATTCTGGCTGTATTCTGAAGGTTTAGTTCAGTATTCCTACATTTGTATGACTCTCTTCGCTCCCTACATATCCTGGTGCTACTAGATTGTCAAGTTTTTATTGTTTGTTTGTTTTTTCTAGCTCACTAAATGGTCTACCTGAATTTTTTCTAACTGAGGCTATACATAGTTTTACTTCTCGTCTTCTGGAAGAATTGAATACTACTGACTTATACTCTTATAGGAAAGTAATGGACAATGTCTCTTCCTGCATGGAGAACTTTAACTTGGGTAAGCTAGCACTTTTCTAGTATACTCTCTGGCTAACACCTGCCATTTTTTAAAAATGGTATTAATTTTGGTCCTGAAATGCCTTACTTTATTTTTTCCTCTACAGGTAGAACCAGTGTTCATAATCTGCTTGAAAATGGTAAGTCCTTTTATTTTGCTTTGTTCCATGAGGTGACTGCTTATATGAGTCATTTTAGAATTGGCCCTTTTAAGTTTCTTGGCAGCAGGTAGAATATTGCAGATCAATAAGGTACATCATACTCCTACCTTTTAAGTTTTGACTTCTATATTAGGATATAATTTTGGATTTAAAATATTTTCTTTTATTAAAGTTGAATTTTGAATTTTAAATATTTTCTTGTATTAAAATTGAAGTTCACAGTTTTAAATTCTAGTTTGTCATTACATTCTTTTTGTTTTAGTGCTTCGTTTTCTGCAAAAGAGTTTGATTGAAATCCTGGAAGAAAATAGGCAAGTGCTGTACATTTTCGTGCTTGTGTCCATGTGTGTGCCCACTTGTGGTTGTGCCTTGTCTTTGTATAAAAAATAATTTTTTTTTTTTTTTTTTAGAGACAGGATCTCTCTGTGTCACCCAGACTGGAGTGCCAAGTGGCACAGTTGTAGATCACTGTAGCCTTGGGCTCCTCGGCTCAAACTATCCTCCCACTTCAGCCTCCAGAGTAGCTAGGACTATAGCCATTGTGCCACTATGCCCAGCAGTTCTTTTATTTTTTGTAGAGTTGGGTTCTCACTGTGTTAGCCAAGCTAGTATTGAACTCCTGGCCTCAAGTGATCCTCTTGCTTTGGACTTCCAAAGTGCTGGGATTCCAGGCATAAGCCACTGTGCCCAGCTCAAAGAAAAACTTTTTTTTTAAGAGTAAAGATATGGGTTACAATTCAGGATTAGGTATACAAACATTGATTATGCAGGTACCCTTAGAAGAACTTTAAAAAGATCTCAGAATGTGGTCTTTTCATCTTTCTCTGTTAACATTAGACCTGATTATTTAAATTTATTTTTTAGAGGTTTGATATTTAATTTTAATGAATACCAAAATTTTTAGTATTTAAATATTTAAATAAAACATTAAAAATTTAATAAATTCTTGTGAGAATAAGTGAGAAAGGGAAGAACTCTTTTCCTCACCTCTGAGTGTTCAATTTTCATAGCATCTCTTTGCTGGTTTTCTTTACAGTATTTCTTCCTTGAAGCTTTCCTCAGAAGTCTGGTGATTCTTGGCTGGGCATTCATATTTGAGAATGGGACTCAGAACTGATTAGAATCTCTGTGCATATGGGTGGGTTTGATGGAAGGTTCTGTGGTAGGCTAGTCTAGCTGGGCTCTTTTCTTTTTTTTTAATTATAAAGATGTGGGGTATAATTCAGGGTTAGGTATGCAAACATTGATTATGCAGGTACCCTTGTTGATGAGTTATGCCCCTCCCTCCCCTAGCAGTTTCCCTCAACTGCCAGTCTCACCTCTCCCCCCGCCCCGGGCTCTTTTCTTTAGAGGAAGCCCTAATGTTAGTGTCTTTAGGTCTTTTTGCTTGTGCAGTAGATTTTTCATGGAAGAATCTTACAAGCTTTTTGTTTTTGTCTTTTTTGAGTTGGGGGTTTCACTCTGTCACCCAGGCTGGAGTGCCGTGTCATGATCACTGCTCACTGCATCCTTGAATTCTTAGTCTCAGGTGATCCTCCCACCTCAACCTCCTGAGTACCTGGGACTGCAGACGCATACTACCATGCTTGGCTAATGCTCATGACCACTACAGCCTTGACCAGCTGGGCTCCGGTGATCCTTCTGCCTTAGCCTTCCAACTAGTCAGAACTACAGGTGCGCACTACCATGCCTGGCTATTTTTTTTTTTTTGATTGTACAGTTAATGTCTCACCATGTTGCTCAGACTGGTCTTGAATCCATGGGCTCAGGCAGTCCTCTCGCCTTGGCCTCCCAAAGTTCTGAGATTACAGGCTTGAGCCACCATGCCTGGCCTAATTTTTAAATTTTTTTTTGTAGAGATGAGATCTCATTATGCTGCCTAGGCTAGCTACAAACTCCTGGGCTTAAGCAATCCTCCCATCTCAGTCTCCCAAAATGCTGGGATTATAAGCATCGGCCTTTACACCTGGCCCCATTGTCTTAATAGTCTTAATATTCTGGCTGCTGAGTGAGGGAAGCAAGTCAAGGTCTTGATATTGGGCATTCATCGTGCATAAACGTATCCAATTCTCCTGTTTGTAATATGGTATTGATGCCTTATCTGTGTGTGCTACTTTTCTGTCCAGACACCTGTTTTTTGGTCTGCAGGCATGAGGGTGTGATTTAGAGGTCTTCTTTTAAACAGATTTATAGACAGTCTTCCTGTTTTCAGTCCTACATTTTCTTCTTTTTAAAGGCAGAGTTTTACTCTGTCACCCAGTCTGGAGTGCAGTGGCGCAGTCATGGCTCACAGCAGTCCTGACCTATTTGGCTCAAGTGAGCCATCCCCGCCATCCGCCTTCTGAGTAGCTGGGGCTGTAGGCATGAGCCACCATGTCTGGCTAAATTTTTAAAATATTTTTTGAGAGATGAGGTCTCACTATATTGCCCAGGCTAGTCTTGAAATCCTGGCTTCAAGTGATTCTCCCACCTCAGCCTCCCCAAGTGCTGGAATTCCAAGTATGAGCCACCACGCCAGCTCCTTCAGTCCTGCATTTATCTCCACATCAGCCTGTACCTAGTGCTACCAGCTTCTGAGTCTTTTGGGACTACAGATCAGGTTGCTTCTGAGCTTGTCCTCTGGCTTAGTATTCACCTTTCTTTCTTCTGCTAAGTACGTTTTCACTCATCCATCTGATTTGCAGCTTCTGAGGCATTACTGTGTCTTTTTGCTAGTTTGCTGTCCTTAAGTGTTTCCCTCTTTTTTTTTGGGTCAGAGTCTCACTCTGTTGCCCAGGCTGGAGTGCATGGCATGCTCATGGCCACCACAGCCTTGACTGCTAGACTCAGGCGATCCTTCTGCCTTAGTAGCTGGAACTATAGGCGTGCACCACCAGGCCTGGCTAATTTTTTTTTTTTTATTTCTTGTGGAGATGAGGTCTTTCCAAGTTGCCCAGACTGGTCTCGAACCCCTAGGCTCAAGTAATCCACTTGCCTCGCAAAATGCTGGGATTACAGGTGTGAGCCATCATGCCCGGCCAAGTGTTTCTCTTTCCATCTTGAAAGTTCCATAGCTGTTGGTCCAGGGAGCTTCTGGGAGGGAGGAGAAGCAACGTCAGGTGTCCTTTTGTGTCCCCAGCAATTCCTTCTCTATTTCTGGGCTCTTCTTTCTCTGCTCATCTTGGAAGTGAGGGTTCTGTCCTTTTTATTCTTTTGTTCTAGTTGTTGCCTAATATCATCCACTTCTTTCGTGTCAACTCTCACCTATATACTTAGGATTCCCAAATTTTTCATTCCAGGTTAGATAGCTTTCCTGAGTGGTGGACGCATGTAGCGAGTTGTCTCCTAGATATCTCAACTTGGGTGTTATACAGGTGCCTCAAATTCAGTGTGTCCAAAAGAAAATTTATTGGTTTTTTTAATCCCTCCCAACAGCCCCTGATAACCACTGTTCTATTTTCTGTCTCTCTGAATTAGCCTATATTAGGTACTTTCTATGAATAGAGTCAAATAATATTTATCATTTTGAGCCAGGCTTATTCTACTTACATTTTCAAGGTTCAGCCATGTTGTGGCATATGCCAGCATTTCGTTCCTTTTATAGCTAAGTAATACTCCATTGTATGTATATACTACATTTTGTATGTCCAGTCATCTGCTGATGGACATTAGGGCTGTTTCTACCTTTTGGCTTTTGTGAATAATGCCACTATAAACATTGGTGTACAAGTATATGTTTGAGTCCCTACTTTCAGTTCTTTTGGGTATATTTTTAGGAGTAGAATTGCTGGATCTTATAGTAATTTTATGTTTAACTTTTTGAGGATCTGCTAATCTGTTTTTCCTGACTTTTGCTTTATATAGGATCACTCTGTGTTTTGCTAGGTTGAGAATAGACTGGTGGGGGGGAGGATAAAAGCTGGGAGATCAGTTAGGAGGCTACGGCAATAATCCAAGGGAGAGACTGGAGTGGCTTAGGCCATGATGGTGGCAGTGGAGGTGGTCTGATTCTAGATTTATTTTGAAGGTAGAGAAGGGAAAAGAGGAGGCAGGAATGATTACAGTGATTTTGTAGGATCCAAATCCCAGTAGGCAGAGTAGGCTTGGAGTTGAAGATAGGTTCACAGATTTAGAGATACCTATTAGACACCCAAGTAAAGATGTTAGGAAGGTAGATATACGAGTCTGGAATTAGAGAAGTCTGGGTTGGAGATAGATATTTGGAAGTCTCAGCACACAGTTTATAATTTAAAGCTTATGAGCTAAAAGAGATCAGCATCAAGGGAGATAATTAGATGGAGAAATGAAGAGGACTAACGACTGAATCCTGGATCCCTACCATGAAGAGACCAGGGAGAAGAAAAACTAGTCTGAGACAGAGTGGTGGTGAAGTAGGAGAAAATGTGGGAGGGCCTGGCATCTTGGAAGCCAGGCAGAGGAAGTATATCAGAGTTGAGGTGGCCGGGCGCGGTGGCTCACACCAGCACTTTGGGAAGCTGAGATGGGCAGATTGCTTGAGACCAGGAGTTCAAGACCAGCTTGGGCAGCATAGTGAAACCTCATCTCTACAAAATTAAGAAAACTAGTCGACCATGGTGGCAAATGCCTGTAGTCCCAACTACATGAGAGGCTGACGTGGAAGGATCACCTGAGCCCAGGAGGTTAAGGCTGCTGTGAGCTATGATTGTCATGGTTGTGCTACTGCACTCTAGCTTGGGCAACAGAGTGAGACCCCAGCTCAAAAGAATAGCAACAGCAAAAACAAAAAAGAGAGCATTCAGCTTTGTAGGTTCTGTTATTCACTGCTGAGTTCTTATCTTTGCCCTAAAAAAGAGAAATGAAGTTTGTTATTGGCTGAGAAAGAGAAACATGTTAAAGTAAGTTGAGAGCTAAAAGTTTGCATTAAATGTCTGCATAATTGGAATGCTTATGAGAATGGAAGAGAGAGGCAAAAATGATCAACTATAATCTAAAGTTGATTTTGGCTCTTTGATTGAAGGGTGTATTTATTTTGGAGAGAAGTAGAAATGTTGACACTTTTATTTGAATTTGTGATAATATCTTTTCTTCTTTGTAGAAAATTTGCTGGAAATCATATTGTTCAAACGCAGTTGATGAATGACTTGTTGGTAGGCATTAGAGTTTCAATGATGTTAGTACAGAAAGTTCAAGATTTCCAGGAAAATCTCTGGAAGTCTTCCAGTTCTCCCGTATGGCAAAGTATGTGTGGATTGTTGAGTATTTTCACCAAACTTTTAAGTGATGGTAAGTGTAACAACTTGCAAATGGTGGTTATAATTGAGTGCCAATTGACTTTTCCTGATAATTGTATGAAATATAATACCTAATTGAGATGTAGAATATCTCTTTTTTTTAGACTCTCAGATTAGGGAAAGGCCCCAATGACATGATTTTAATGCTTTGTTCTTTCAAATGTACCAATTCGGCAAGGGATAATGTTGAAGAACTTTTCTGAGTTTATGTGTGTGTGTGTGGTATACAAAGAGGAAAACCTAACAATTTAGTGTTGAAGAGCCACATACCTTTTCTTTTTTTTTTTTGAGTTGGAGTCACTCTGTCGCCCAGGAGTGCAGTGGCACACTCATGGCCACCCCAGCATCCACCTTCTGGGCTCCTGCGATCCTTCCACCTCAGCCTTCCAAGTAACTGGATCTACAGTTGTATGCTAACATGCCTGGCTACTTTTTGATTTATTGTAGAGACAAGGTCTTGCCAAGTTGTCTGGGCTGGTCTCGAACCTGCGGGCTCAGGCAGGCAACTTGCCTTGGCCTCCTCAAGTGCTGGGGTTACAGGCTGAGCCATTGAGCCCGGCCCAAGCCACAGACTTTAAATAGCAAAATTCTTTAGAAGAAATTTCCAAATTTGGAAGGAAGATCTGGAAAGGTTAATGCAACCTACACATTTCACCTTAATGGCAGGTGTCATCTTCAGATGATGACAGTTGTTGCTCATTGTTGGCCTGGCCAGTATTCCTTCTGATGTTTCGTGTATTGCTTCTGTACATATAAACTGAATCACTAGGAAACCAAATAGATCTCTATAGGAAAGTATTTTAACCGATGAAATGAAATGATAGAATATCAATGATTTAAAACCTTTAAATTGATATAGGCATTAAGCATCATCAGTTGCTAACACTACAGAAACAGAAAACCAGACGTGTGCCTCTTTGAATCTTGTTGTTACTAGTTACAGTTTTCCCAAAGTGCTCTAACTTGAGACTAATCCTTTCTCTATGTTAGCTACGAGTTTACAGGAATTTCAGAGGACAGAGGATATGTTGACTGAAATCAGGAGTAAGCAGATGCAGCATCCAGATTGGGGGAAACCTACAGGCCAAATGTCCAGGCTCTTCAGCAGAGAAAGTGTGATGAAAAGAGGGGGCCAAGAGGGTACCTGTAGATAAAAAGACAATTCCAAGGCATTCCGTTTACTCATGGCCCACAGGCATTGTCAGCAGAAAAGAAGGGACAAAAAATGACTAGACACTTAAACAGCATCTAGGGATAGATATTTGATTAATAAGACTGTTGGGAAAAAATGAGGAAGTCATTACTGTGAAAATGATAATAGTGTTTACCCAGAGTATAACCTTAGGGTTAGAGTATAAGAGTATAACCCTAACCCTAACCCCTAACCCCTAACCCTAACCCTAACTTTGATTGAAATGAGGCATTTGGATGAGCCTTCTTAACTGGGTGGCTGAGTTCTGTATCTTGCCTTGGATGGTGGGTACAAGGGTGATCACCTTTAATAATTTAGTAAGCTATACATTTGTTTTGGGGTGGTTTTTATATCTCTGTTTCATATTATAAATTTAACAAGAAAAATGATACTCAACACATACATATTTACATAAAAAGTTAAAGCATCCTTTCTCCTTTCACCTCCCATTCTATATGGTAATGTATGTATGGATTTAACGTAATTTAAAAAGTATTAATGGGATCTCTTCAGAGCTCTTGTTTGTAAGTAACAGTAACTGAGTCTGGTTATGCTAGGATGATAGGAAAAAACAGCATATCTCTCTTCTTTTGTTTAAATTGAGATGTGATCTCACTATGTTGCCTAGCCTGGTCTCAGACTCCTGGGCTCAAGCAATCATCTCGCCTTGGTCTCTCAAAGTGCTAAGATTACAGGCATGAGCCACCACGCCTGACAAAAATAGCATCTCGTTGTTTGTGTTTTTAGTCCTGATAGCTAGTGAAAGTCCTAGCTATACGTGAGGGGATCCCCCCACACACACCAAAAATAAACTGGAATTATCTTTTGGAAAGTGAGCTCCTTGTAGTACACTTGAAATTTGTTCTCCCTGATCAAATGGTCAATCATTTTTTATCTGGAAGTTTTGAGATGGTTGTGTCATGACTTGTGGAACAGATGTCCCAAGTTGGGGCAAACAAGTGACTGATTCTTCCACCATGACAACATGCTTGCTCACCCTGCACTGATTGTTCAGTAGTATTTAACCAAAACAACCTGAGCCCCGTGCCCCACCCTCCCTGTTCACCCACTCTTGTCCCAAATGACTTTTTTTTGTCTGTTTGTTTCCCTGAATGAAAAAAGTCCTCAGAGAGAAACGTTTTGCCAGTGTGGAAGAGGTGAAATAGAAAACAGCAGAAGCACTAAAGGGCATAAAAATTGACAGATTCAAAAACTGTTTTGAGGCTGAGCATGGTGGCTTATGCCTGTAATCCCAGTACTTTGGGAGGCGGCGGCAGATGCAAGACAGTTGCCTGAGCCCAGGGGTTTGAGACCAGCCTGAGCAACTTGGTGAGACCTCATCTCTGCCAAAATAAAAAATTTAGCTGAGTGTGGTGGCACATGCTTGTAGTCCCAGCTAATTGGGAGGCTGAGGTAGGAGGATCACCTGAGCCCAACAAGTTGAGGTTGTGGTATTGATGACTGTGCCACTACACTCCAGCCTGGTCAACAGAATGAGACTCTGAAAAAAAAAATGTTTTGAGCAGTGGAAAAAGTATCCTAAAGATGTATTTTTTTTTTTTTTGAGTTGGAGTCTCACTCTGTCGCCCAGACTGGAGTGCAGTGGCCGCTCCCGGCCACCGCAGCCTCGACCTGCTGGGCTCCGGCAATCCTTCCGCCTCAGCCTTCTGAGTAGCTGGAATTACAGGCACGTGCTACCATGCCCGGCTGGTTTTTTGATTTTTATTGTAGAGATGAGGTCTCGCCAAGTTGCCCAGGCGGGCCTTGAACCCGTGGGCTCAGACAGTCCACTCACCTCGGCCTCCCAAAGTGCGAGATCTGAGCTACCGAGCCCAGCCAGTGATGTATTGCATCAAATAGAGAGTACTTTGAAGGTGACTGAAATTTAAACGTAAGAATAAGTACACAGAAACCATGGCGGGTGAGCTTGAGGGCTGCAAGCCCCTGAGCAGGCTGCTGAGCGGTCTGGCCCAGGACAATTTCTTCCGGCACCCGGGCATCACAGAGGAGCTGCTGCGGAGCCAACTCTATCCGGAGGTGCCACCCGAGGAGTTCCGTCCCTTTCTGGCGAAGATGAGGGGGGATTCTGAAGTCTATTGCATCAGGAGACATGGATTTCAATCAGCTGGAGGCATTCTTGACTGCCCAAACCAAAAAGCAAGGTGGAATCACATCTGACCAAGCTGCTGTCATTTCCAAATTCTGGAAGAGCCACAAGACCAAAATCCAAGAGAGCCTCATGAACCAGAGCCGCTGGGATAATGGGCTTCACGGTCTGAACTGGAGAGTTGATGGCAAGTCTCAGTCAAGGCATTCATCTCAAATACATACCCCTGTTGCCATTATAGAGCTGGAATTAGGGAAAAGTGGACAGGAATCTGAATATCTGTGTTTGGAATTTGATGAGGTCAAGGTCAACCAAGTTCTGAAGAAGCTCTCAGTGGTAGAAGAAAGTATCAGCACACTGATGCAGCCAGCCTAACTGAAGATAATGGAAGGATTTGGAGTTGCTGAAACAAAGGTGTTCATGATCCCTCCCCACTGACCTTTTTAAAAACATTTTTGATTCCCTGTTGGTATTAAATCCTCAAATTCAAAAAAAAAAAAAGAATAAGTACACAATTTTTTAATAAATAAATTCTGGGTTTTTTGGGTCTCCCCTCATATTATTATCCGGTTAGTATTTTCATTTTTTTTTTTTTGCCTGGGATCTCAGGTATTAAATGGAAAGAAAAATAATTAAGTTTATTTTCATTAAGATGTAAATTACAGACAACTCTTCAGATGTAAGTTGTTTTTTAAAAGAGGAATTTGTTGATCTAAAAAAAAAAAAGATTCTATAGTGAAATGCAGAGAAGATATGAATTGAAGACCAAACAGCTTCTTTTCTGAAAAATTGATGACACCTAGTCAATGCTATTCTTTTCGAGGATTTAAAGCTTCATTATCAGTAAGGTGTTCAGCTGCAAGTAACAGAAAACCAATTCAGGGTCTTTAAGCAAGTGTGCCTGTCAGGCTGAGCCAATGAGCTGGCCAGGAATCACATTTATTATCTTTGTGTTGCACTTATAAGCCTTTATGTTCTTTTTTTAACCTAAAAATTTTTGTTAGACATGAGTTATCCCATTTTACAGAAAAGAAAGTGGAGGCCCTGGGATGTCTGACCTTTAAGCATCTATTCTTTCTGCTGTACCAGAATATTCATCATTTAATACATTCTCTCTGCTTTTTTTTTTTTTTGCAAAATAGATGATCTATTGCAGACTATTCAGAGTACATCTGGATTAGCTATTATTCTTTTTATTAAGACTATGTTTCACCCATCTGAAAAGATTCCTGGCTTGGTAAGTACATCTCCTTTTTACAGTTGTACTTTATTGAGCACTGGATGTATGCTTAAAAATATGTATTTGTTTATTAGAGATGAAGTCTTACTCTGTCGCCCAGGCTGGAGGGCAGTGGCACCGTCACACCTCACTGCAGCCTCGAACTGCTGGGCTCCAGTGATACACCTTCCTGAGTAGCTGGGGCTACAGGTGCATGATGCCACACTTGACTAATTTAAAAACATTTTTGTAGGGATGGGGCAGGTCTCACTTTGTTGCTTAAGGCATCTCGAACTCCTGGCCTCAAGCAGTCTTCCTGCCTTAGCTTCCTGAGTCGCTGACGTTACAGGCCTGAGGCACCACTTAAAAATATTTTTAAAGAAGTGAATTAAACATTTTTTCTTTGTGTAGTCTGGGTCTTTTTGATTACAGTTAGAGACAATTCCAGAAATTCAGGTAAAGCAAAAACAAAAACCCAAAAAGCCCAGTAACATTGTGATCTGCATTATAGAAGGTGTATGTCCTTCTAGTTTTCTCTAGTGATGTCTGTTCATTACATCTCTCATTAGTATCTTAAAAAATACTTATAATATTAAAATTATAGAGATTAATATATAGACATATACACAGCAATAATCTTATGATAAGTATGTTCTTTATTAAGAATGATCTATATCATGTACTTTAGACAGGAAGCATGCTAGAGCTTGATGAATTTGATCCGTATAGAAAGTATAATTTGATAATTTAGGCCACAGACCTTGTATTTATGACTAGCAGTTTTTTCCTTTGCTATATTATCTGAAAAATTATTTGATCTTTTTACCTGATATTTGCATAGAATAGTTCTAAATATTTGTGTTCTATTTCATGAGATCACACAAAGTGATCATTCATTAGTAGATAAAGTTGAAAATGTTCGTTTCTCAAATCACCTCCAAGAAGCATTAGTTAAGCTCATCCACCTGCAGGTGGCGATGTGTTGTGCTCTACAGTACATTCATGGCAGCAAAATAATTCATGTACTTAGATTTCACTTTTTTCCTTGCTATGTTAATGTAATAATTGTAATGTGTGGATTTTCTTTTTAACCTTGAAGTTTAGTTATTTTTTCCTAGGGTGTTTCAGGGGAAAGATTGTAGGATTTGTATTTTGAAAAATCTCTGAAAAATGTAAAAAGCTTTCTACATGTTTGCTGTGTTCTGTTTTTCCAGATTACCAGTTTACTTCTTCGTTCAGTGGACTGCACCAATGTCCCTGAGTGGTTTATGAACAGCTGCAGGAGCCTTTGTTGTGGTGACATCGCTGGGTCAGCTCTCTTATTCCTGTGTCAGGGGACACTTGCTATGTTGGACTGGCAGAATGGGAGCATGGGCCCATGTGGAGAGGCCCTGCTCTTGGACACTGTACATGTTTTGTTCACCTTGAGTTCACAGTGAGTTTTGTTGCTGCTGTCTCATCTTTTATTCCCTTGTAAGACACTTTAAAAGATGTAATCAAGCCAGCATACTTAGTCATCCAATGAAAAATGACCAGGATAAGTGCCAAATTAAAAATGATATATGTAAGCCAGGCTCGGTGGCTCAGCCTGTAATCCCACGCCTTTGGGAGGCTGAGGTGAGTAGATTGCCTGAGCCCGCGGGTTCGAGACCCACCTGGGCAGCGAGACCTCATCTCTACAATAAATCAAAAATTAACCGGACGTGGTAGCGGGCGCCTGTAGTTCTAGCTACTTGGAAGGCTGAGGGGGAAGGATCGCCGGAGCCCAGCAGGTCGAGGCTGCGGTGGCCGGGAGCGGCCACTGCACTCCAGTCTGGGCGACAGAGTGAGACTCCAACTCAAAAAAATAAATAAATAAAAAAGTAAAACACTGTGTAACCATCATCGCAGTCAAGATAGTGAGCATTTCTTTACTCCTTCCTCCCTCCCCAAATTTCCTCATTTCCCTTTTTGGATTGCTTTTTATAAGGTGAAAAGATTCGTGCATAAATTTGAGATGTTTTGATCTTGTTCGTAATTTTTTTGTTCATGTAAATTTAATAATGATTTACTTTTCTGTTCATTCTTTGTGTTTAGTATTTCTGAAGTTTAAATTTAATAATGATTTACTTTTCTGTTCATTCTTTGTGTTTAGTATTTCTGAAGTTTAAATTGTTATAAAATGAAATTTTCTTTTATTAGTCAGTTTATAATGTGGTTCATTTGTTTTTTCAGGATTAAAGAGTCGACACTAGAAATGTTTCTGTCTAGAATCTTAGCGTCTTGGACTAATTCAGCCATGCATGTCCTTGAATCAAGTTCCCCAAACCTAAAGGACAGCCTGAATGGGAATTCAAGCATAGTTGGGAGACTTTTGGAGTATGTCTATACCCACTGGGAACATCCATTGGATGCTCTGAGGCACCAAACCAAAATCATATTCAGAAATCTTCTCCAGATGCACCGACTCACTATGGAAGGTGCAGATGTGGTCACTGATCCTTTCTTTGTGGAATTGACTGAGAGTCTTCTGCGATTGGAATGGCATATTAAAGGAAAGTACACATGCCTTGGCTGTTTGGTGGAGTGCTTAGGAATTGAACATATTTTGGCAGTAGATATGACGATTCCATCTCAAATCTTAGAAGTGATGGGGGACCAATCATTAGTACCTTATGCAAGTGACCTCTTGGAAACCATGTTTAAAAATCATAAGAGTCATTTGAAATTGCACACCATCGACAGTACTTGGATTGACCAGTGGCATGAGACTTGGGTTTCTCCTCTCCTTTTTATACTGTGTGAAGGAAACTTGGAACAAAAATCTTATGTAATTGATTATTATTTGCCAAAATTATTGAATTACAGCCCTGAAAGCTTACGGTACATGGTAAAGATTCTTCAGACTTCAATTGATACTAAAACTGGTAAGAAAAATGAATTAAAAAAAAAATTTCTAGTTATGATGCTTAAATATAGGCACCTAGGCAGACTTTGACCATATTCAAATGTAGATATTACCGCTTTCATAAATAGTAAAGGAGGATATTCTGAAGTATACCCCACATCTTTAACATAAAAAAATTTAAAAGTTAAAAAAAAAAGCATATTAATGATAGATATTTCAGTTTGAATCAAATGTTCTTATATATAGCTGAATGGAGTTTTTTTGGCAGAAATAATTTCTGCAAGCTAAGGAGTGATTCCAGTTACAATGCTAAGATTTCCTTTACTACAGGGTTTTAATTCACTGTACCAAATTCTGAATTTGTTATTTTGTTGTCTTATTGGAGTAGACGTTTGTGTGTTTTATATAATTTGCTTATTCAAGTGACTGAGACAGTAATTAAAAATTGTGCTAGGCAAGGCTAAAGACAGGTAAATTGACAATAGCAAGTTTTTGTCTATGGTGAAGAGACAAAACTTAGAGGTATGATCTTGAAAAATGACTGTCTGTAGTCATTTAGAATAGGGGTAAACACATTGAAACTCAGGAGCCCAGAAGGAGTCACTGCATTCAAGCATAATTCAGTAATTAATGTATAAAGTGATGATCATGACACACCATGTAAATCTTAAAATTGTTCTGTTTAACAAAGCCAGTGTATGGTATCCTACAGCATAATTTAAGAAATGCTTTCAGCCGGGCTCGGTGAGTCAACCTGTAATCCCAGCACTTTGGGAGGCTGAGGTGAGAGGATTGCCTGAGCCCGCCGGTTTGAGACCTGCCTGGGCAACTTGGCGAGACCTCATCTCTACAATAAATTAAAAAATTAGGCGGGCATGGTAGCGCGCGCCTGTAGTTCCAGCTACTTGGAAGGCTGAGGCGGAAGGATTGCTGGAGCCCAGCAGGTTGAGGCTCTGGTGGCTGGGAGCGGCCACGGCACTCCAGTCTTGGTGACAGAGTGAAACTCCAACTCAAAAAAAAAAAAAAAAAAAGAAAAAAAAGAGATGCTTTCAACTAAAATGGTTAAAAACTTTCAGGTGAGGTGTGGTGGCTCATGCCTGTAATCCCATTGCCTGAGCCCAGGGCTTCCAGACCAACCTGGGCAACATAGTGAGACCTCATCTCTACTATAAATAAAAAAAATTAGCTGGTAGTGGGGGCGCACACTTATAGTTGGAAGCCTTGGAAGGCTGAGGTGGAAAGATTGCCTGAGCCTAGCAGGTCGAGGCTGCGGTAGCCATGATTGTGCCACTTGTACTCCAGCCAGGGAGACAAAGTGAGACTCCAAAACAAAAAACAAAAACAAACAAAATATTCAGTACTTCAAAGAGTAACTATGAAATAGCAGGAAAATTTGAGTCCAGTATGCAAAGTTAAGCCATTATTTGTAATTTTTGACAATAATCATTCTTATTTTTTGAGAAGCCATGTCATACCAGTGTTCATGAATCTGTTCTGAAGTAAGGTTGTCTTTCTTTTTGTATCAAGGTGCCCCATGAGCCAGAGTTCCCTGACCCTTTAGTACTTGCTGATGTCCTGGCCTCTGAAGCCATCAGGCTCTTTTATCTTCTTTACTAGCAAGAAACTGTAACTCCAAAATACACAGAGAGGGTCAGTATTTATTTCTAGAGAAATAACAGTCTTTGGTCATGGACGTATTTTTCCTATTCTTGGAAATTTTAATGTTGTATTGTTTTTAATATTTCTTCACCTGATTTTTTTCTGATTCTATTTTCTAAGTGTTAAGGAAATAGTAAAAATATTAGTGAGTATAAGTGATTTCTTTATGTTAATAAGATATTATGCTTGCTTAAAATTATTGGCAAAGACAATAAAATCATTTTTTAAATTTATTTTTTGGAGTTGGAGTCTCACTTTGTCACCCAGGCTGGAGTGCAGCTCACGACTACTGCAGCCTCGACCTGCTGGGATCAGGTGATCCTTCTGCCTCAACCTTCCAAGTAACTGAAACTACAGGCACATGCCACTACACCCAGCTAATTTTTTAATTTATTGTAGAGGTGAGGTCTCGCCAGGTTGCCCAGGCTGGTCTTGAACCCCTGAACTCAGGCAGTCCTTGTGCCATGAAATCATTTAACATAATGATTTTAGAATAGGGACTTTAATTTGTGCTAGGATTTAGTTTAAAATGTGATTTTAATTTCTGGAAATAGAATTTTAATTGGAAACATAAAGATTGACAACTGAAAATTGCATAACACAGTAATGTTCTTTGTTATTGTGCTTTGAGGACAGGAACAGTCTTCTCCGTCCTTAGGGTCTTGTAATAGCAGGGGGGCTCTGGGAGCTTTGATGGCATGTCTGCGAATAGCTCGAGCTCATGGACATCTTCTGTCTGCACCTGATACCTGGGAGAACCTTGTGTCAAGTACAAGAATAAAGCAAGGCTTGGTTCATCAGCACTGCCAAGTAAGTAAACAAAACAACTGGGAGTTTGTACACAAAGTAGGTCTATGATGGTTTCAGTCATTCAGCAGCTTGATACAGAGGCATTGTGCCCAGCACTGTTTTAGGAGTCTATAAGGAAGATGAATAGAAAGTGAAAAGTGTAAACCTAGTACTCAGACTCCTTACAGTTTTAGTTGAGGGGATGAGAAAACTTGTGTGAAACATCTGGGAACTCTTAGGACGGACTGTTTAGATACTAGTGTGTCCTTGTGTATAGGACTTATTGGGAGGCTCAGAAGAGACTGGTCAGAGGAGGGGGTGGTTGATTAGGAAAGTGGCAGATGTGACTGTAGGAGAGGAAGTGTTGGAGCAGCACACAGAATGGAAGGACACTAATGAACAGGTCTGGAGGATGATGGAGGCCATGGCTTGTTAGGAGTGGGGTGTTTTGTCCATGTTGTGGAAGGTTCCAGTGCTAGGCTGAAGATGTCGTTGGTTCCCAGTTACCAGCTGGTTTCATTTCAGTTTAGCCAGAGTCACTTTGTCTTCAGAAAGGAAGTGACATTAATGGAAACAGATGGGTTTCCAGAGTGAGAGCAGAAAGAAACCAGGATGCCAGCTTGAAGTTCATGGCAGTGATTTAAGAGTGAGGTGATGAGGTCAAGTCGGCGCTGAGAACAAAGTAAGAGAAATGAAACTGAACATTGCCCTGGAATAAGAATCTCCTAGATTGTTGGATTTTATAAATCCCCAATGTATCTATTTAATAAAATAATTTTATAGGAAACAATCACAAGGTCTTTGGGATTAGGAAACCTTTTTGAGGTACATATAGGTAAACTAAAGTTCACTTTTTTCCTTTGGTAGCCTGTGCAAATCACTAAACATTTCAAGTGGTTTAGGCTTTATTTCATTGGCAAATTAACATCTTATTGCTGTATGTGTTTTAGGTACGAATAGATACATTAGGTCTGCTTTGTGAAAGTAATCGAAGCACAGAAATCGTTTCTACAGAAGAAATGCAGTGGATTCAGTTCTTTATCACATACAATCTTAACAGCCAGTCTCCAGGAGTGCGGCAACAGATTTGTTCTCTTCTTAGAAAGGTAAGACTTCCCATCAGAGAGTATAGGGAGGTAGCGAACTTTGTTCTGGAAGTTGTTTTTAAAAAGAGTCCACGTTTTGGGAGAGTGTGGGAAGGGTCATGGAGTTGGGGCTACCATATCTCTTCATGGCTCTTCTGTGATCTGTTCTTGATTCTATTAAGCTTACATTTGGAATTAAAATCTAGAGTGAAAAGTCCTTTTGTTTTGGTGTAGTAAATCAACCCTGAGTTCTTTTTTTTGAAGGGAAGAAACACAGTGCTGGAGTTCTTGGGATGTAAGGGTTTTTTTTTTTTTTTAATCTGAGTCTTACTCCGTTGCCCAGACTGGAGCACAGTGGCACACTCATGGCCACCCCAGTGTCCCCCTGCTGGGCTCCGGCGAACCTTCCACCTCAGCCTTCCAAGTAGCTGAACTACAGTCACGTGCTATCATGCCCAGCTAATTTTTGATTTATTGTGGAGACGAGGGCTCACCAAATTGCCTGGGCTGGTCTTGAACCCGTGGGCTCAGGGAATCCACTCGCCTTGGCCTCCCAAAGTGCTGGGATTATGGCCTGAGCCACCGAGCCCGGCCATAACGTGGTTTTAAGGAAGCTTTGCTAACAGGAGGATGGATGCCCTTGCATTGTATAGTTTTTTAAAGCTCCTCTTGAAGTGTTCATTATTGAATGATTCAACTTGAATTAATCACACAACAGGCTTATGGGGTACAGAATTGGTGGAGTACAGAAATGAGTATATCATCTTCACATTCGTGCTGACTTAGAGGAAATAGGAGAACTGTGGTTTAATGACCATATTCTGGTTTGCAGTAACACTTTGTTTTTGGTTTTAAAAATACGAATGTTAATTTTTTGTCAAATGGTTCAAATATTAAGAGTTTCAAAAACAGTACTTTCCTCAACCTGGTTTTATTCTAAAGAATTTTGCCTCTTAGGCTGACATTTAAATTTAATATGTGTCTCACATATGCTTTGTTTTTGTCTCAAAAGTTGTTTTGTAGGATACAGGAAAGTTCTCAGGTACTTTATAAATTGGAGCAAAGTAGAGCCAAACATGAACCTGAGAACAAGTTAAGCAAGCAGCACTCTTCTGTTTCTTTGCAGCAATATAAGGTGGGTGATATATTTATAGACATACAGACTTTTAAGAAACTTAATTATGAATAAGCTTGAAAGGGAAGTAAATGGAAGTTTCTTGGTGAATCATGTTTCTGTGCTTTTTTACTTCGAGCTGGGTGTTATGTATTCCTCTGGTCCTGTGCACTCCACTCGAGGTAGCCTGAGTTGTGGGACCATTGCTGCACTTGAGGACTGTCACAGAATGGCATTAATGTGCTTAACCTCAGTAGCTTACAGTTTATGTGAGCCAGATGAATTTAGTAGTTTAACAAAAAGGTAATTGCCAGCCCTGAGCTCCTCCAGCCCTTCCCAGGCAGAAGACTGCTATAGCTGGGCCTGCACTTGCTCTTTGAATAGGCGTGACACAAAGTGGCTTGATGCTAGTGACCTTGGCCCATGGTCCAGCTGACTTGCACAGAAACTATTTTTTTTTTAAATTAGAGGAAGAAGACTTTATCCTGGATAAAATATTTCCCACTTTGTTTTCATAAAAAATTTCATTTTTAAAGAAGTTTTTGTTTTTTTAATCATCTGTATAAACAAAATGAGAGAGCAGGAGTTTCAGGGGGGCAAGTAGAAGACAATGGAATTGTGGGGTCTTGGTTGGAATTCTGTCATTCTAGCCAGGCTTAAGTAGTATATATTGAATACTACTTCGGTCGTTTTAAAACTCTGAAAAGTATACATAGCTGTCTGGGCTATAATAGAAATTGTACTTATTAGGCCCGGGACAGTGACTCATGCGTTTGTTGAGTCTGCAAATATAGGGTTCATTAAAGTCATGAGGAAGCTTATGGTCAAGAGTGCTGAGCTGATTTATCAAGCGAAGAGAACAACCAGTATTATATCTAACAATCCTTGCTTTTTAAATTAAAAACAAACAAACAAAACACCCACTCATAAAGATAATACACTCAAGATAACCTTTTGTGACATAATTATACTTATTATAATTTTTTTTTTTTTTTTTTAGAATTTCCTGTCATCCATTTGCAACAGTCTTTTTGAAGCCTTGTTTCCTGGGTCTTCCTACTCAACTAGATTTTCAGCTTTAACCATTTTAGTCTCAATAGCTGAAGTTTTTCAGCCCCTAGAAGGTGAGTTTTCAGTAACGTTTGGGGGAAATTTTTTTTTCCTTTCAAAACACATACATTTTCAACAATTTTCTTTACTTGAAGTTTCAGTTTTGCTGTCTTTTCTTTAGATTCTTATGGGAGGTTTTATTCTTACCATATAATTCTTATTTGTACATAATTAAATATGCCAGTGAAGAATAGAAGGGAAAGAAAATGACTCCCTTTTCACTGATCATTATATACCAACCAAGAACTAATTTTCGTGGATCATGCTTATTATGGAAAGAGGATCTGTCTGGGTGTGGTGGCTCATACCTGTAATCCCAGTGCTTTAGGGGACTGAGGCGGGAGGATTGCTTGAACCCAGGAGTTCAAGACCATCTTAGGTAACATAGCAAGACCTTGTCTCTACAAACAGTAATAAATTAGCTGGCATGGTGGTGTACACCTATATTCCCAGCTACTCAGGAGGCTCATACAGGTGGCTCTATTGAGCCCAGGAGTTTGAGACCAACGTAGGCAATATAGTGAGACCTCATACCTGCAAAAAACAAAAAAATTCACTGGACATGGTGGCACATACCTGTAGTCCTGGTTACTTGGGAGTCTGAGGTAAGAGGATTGCTTAAATCCAGGAGATTGAGGCTATGGTGAGCTGTGATTGTGCCCCTGCACTTCAACACTCTTGACTCAAAAAATAAAATAAAATAAAATAAAAAAGAAGCCTTGTTCTTACCTTCATGATTTCCTTGTTGCTGGGTTTTTTATTTTTTATTTTTTTTAGCGACAGGGTCTTGCTGTGTTACAGAGGCTGAAATGCAGTGGCATGATCACTGCTCGTTGCAGCCTCAAATTCCTGGGCTCACCTCAGCCTCCCAAAGTGTTAAGATTACAGATGTGAGCCACCTCACCCAGGCATCTTTGTTACTGTTTTAAGCTATTGCCCAATGTGTTAAGTTTAAAAAACTGAAATAATAATAGTTTCTCTTGTACTCCTCAGAGTCTTTGTGGTTAAAATGTGGTTTCCCTTATATGCTGCTTCATACACCTCCATCTGGTTGAGGAATGGCAGTACAAGGCTGTCATTTCCAAGTATTCTGTTTAATGATGCCCTTTGTTTTTCCTTCTGTGGGGTACTCGAGAGGGTGAACATTACACTTACCTCTTGAATCAATTGTTTTTTTTTCCTTTTTGACAAGAAATGTCTCTTTTTAACCCTGTACATGAGTGTAGTGAGTTTAATGTAGAATTCCTTGCTTGTGCTCAGGCTTTTTTTTTTTAATTTTTAATTTTAAAGATGTGAGGTACAATTCAGGGTTAGGTATACAAATGTCCATTATGCAGGTACCCTTGATGAGGTGTGCACCCCCGGCCCCCCGGCAGTTTCCCACTACTGCTGATCCCACCTCCCCACCCCCCTTCAGTCTTTCTTGACTATGGTCAAAGAGGAAAATATCCTACCCAGCTGTTCTTTCACAGAAAATGGCCAGGACCAGGGACCTACTCTGTCATTGGATTCTATTCTATTTTATTTTGTTTTACTTTACTTTAGTTTCTTTTTTTTTTTTAATTTGGGATCTCACTCTGTTGCCCAGGCTGGAGTGCAGTAGCATGATCATGGCTCATGGCATCCTTGACCTCCTGAACTTAGGCAATCCTTTCACCTCAGCCTCCTGAGTAACTGGGACTACAGGCATGTGCCACTATACCCAGCTAGTTTTTTTATTTTTTGTAGAGACAAGATTTCACTATGTTGCCCAGACTAATCTTGAACTCCTGGGCTCAAGCAATCCGCCCTTCTTGGCCTCCCAAAGTGCTGGGATTACAGGCATGAACCACTGTGCCCTGCAGATTTTTTTTTATTTTAAATAATCGTGCAGAGTATACTTTTCTTTAACAGAAGGGAGACTGCTAGCTGATGTTAATACAGGCTTGTTTCATTTGAGGAAAATCTGTTTTTCAAGTTTTTATTTTGCAAAAATTCAAATCAACAGCACAGTTTCAAGAATAGCCATGTTCCTTCTACCTAGATTAATCAGTTATTAATATTTTGCCATATTTGCTTTATCTCTCTGACTCTTACTACTTTTTTTTTTTTTTTTTTGAGTTGGAGTCTCACTCTGTCGCCCATACTGGCCTGCAGTGGCCGCTCCTGGCCACCGCAGCCTCAACCTGCTGGGCTCCGGCGATCCTTCCTCCTCAGCCTTCCAAGTAACTGGAACTACCGGCACGTGCTACCACGCCCGGCTCATTTTTTACTTATTGTAGAGATGGGGTCTCGCCAAGTTGCCCAGGCGGGTCTCGAACCGCGGGCTCAGGCAATTCACTCACCTCAGCCTCCCAAAGCACGGGATTACAGGCTGAACCACTGAGCCTAGCTACTCTTATTACTTTTATAGCCATAACACAATGATCAGATTCAGGAAATTTAACATTGATACAATGCTTTTATCTAATAAACAATCCATATTTACAGTTTGCCAATTACCCCAACAAATGACCTTTGGTTTTAAAATTTCCCACGATCTAAGAAGCAACTTTTGATCACACATTGTATTTTGTTGTTATGACTCTATCTAGACTTCTTCAATCTGGAAAATTTCTTATAACATTAACATTTGGGAAGACTGTGTCACAATTGGAGTTTGTCTCATTGGTTCCTGATGATTTGATTCAGGTTATACATTTTTTTGCATAGGTGATGTGCTGTTCTTCTCAGGGTATCCTATTCAGGGGATATATGAGGTTGGCTTGTTCCAATATTCATGGTGAGAAATTTGTTCACCTTATTTAGCTGGATGTGGTAGGCTGAAACATGCCTTCCAAAGATATCCACATCAAATCCTTAGAACTTTACATGGAAAAGGGGTCTTTGCTGATGTGATCAATTTAGGATCTTGAGAGAAAACCCTGGATTGCCTTAGTCAACCATAAATTTCATCCCATGTATTCACATAAGAGAGAGTCAGAGAGAGATTTGACACAGGAGAAGCAAGGAGGTAGTAAGACAGTGGAGGTGAAGATTAGAGTGTTGGGGCTGCAAGCCATAGCATGCTGGCAGCCACCAGAAGCTAGAAGAGTCAGGGATCAAGTCTCTAGAGTGAGTGTGGCCCCACTGACACCTTGGACTTCCAGTTTCCAGAAATGTGAGATTAGCTAGGTGCAATGGCTCACATCTGTAATCCCAGCACTTGGGAGGCCGAGGTAAGAGGATTGCCTGAGTTCACGGGTTCAAGACCAGCCTGGGAAACTTGGTGAGACCTCATCTCTACAATAAATAAAAAAATTAGCTGGGCATGTGGTGCGTTCCTGTGGTTCCAGCTACTTGGAAGGCTGAGGCAGAAGGATCACCTGAGCCCAGCAGGTCGAAGCTGTGGTGGCTGTGAGAATGCCACTGCACTCTAGCCTGGGTGACAGAGTGAGACTCCGACTCAAAAAAAAAAGTGAGAGAGAAGATATTTGTGGTTTTAAGCTTCCAAGTCTGTGATCATTGATTACAGCATTCGGTGAATACGAGGGTATCCATCAATTCAGGGAATTTCAGTGGTCCTTCAGCTTAATTTAGAAAATTAGGCTTTAGCCAGATGCAGTGGCTCACGCCTGTAATCCCAACACTTTGGGAGCCTGAGGCTAGAGGATCGCCTGAGCACACAGATTCGAGACCAGCCTGGACAACTTGGCAAGACCTCATCTTTACAATAAATAAAAAAATTAGCCTGGCATGGTGGCTACTTGGAAGGCTGAAGCAGAAGGATAGCCTGAACCCAGCAGGTCGAGGCTGTGGTGGCCGTGAGCATGCCACTGTACTCCAGCCTGTGTGACACAGTGAGACTGTGACTCAAAAAAATAAAATTAGGTTTTAGGCTAGGTGCAGTGGCTCATTCCTATAATCCTGGCACTTTTGGGAGGCCAAAGCAGGAGAATTGCTCAAGCCCAGGAGTTTGAGACCAGCCTAGGCAACATCACAAGACCTTGTCTCTACAAAACATAAAAAAATTTTCTGGTTGTGGTGGCGTGTGCCTGCTATCCCAGTAATAAGGAGGCTGAGGCAGAAGCAGAAGGATTGCCTGAACCCTGGAAATCAAGGCAGCGGTGAACCATGATTGTGCCACTGTACTCTACCTGAGGCAACAGAAAGAAATCTTAGCTCAAAAAAAAAAAAAATTGTTTTTACCTGAGAATGAGTGATATGTTAAGCATTTAACAAATAATTTTCTGCACACTTAGTGTAATTATAGCTGCACCTAGGTGTGTGTGAAATAAGTCTACACTAAGTTGTACCTGTAATTTTTCAGTCAAGAGAGTAATTTAATATATTTAAATACACTTTAAAATTAAAAACTCTTCCTAATGAATAATATGTCACATATAATTGGGCAGTGACTGATGTCTTACTAATTATGTTAATTAACCAACTGGGAGGTCATGCAAAGGGAGCAAGCCATACTCACAGAGCCTCGACCTCCTGGACTCAGGAAATCCACCTCATTATCTCTAGCAGCTGAACTACAGGTGTATGCCACCATATCCGACTAATGATTTTTTTTTTGTAGAGACAGAGTTTTGCTATGTTGTCCAGACTGGTCTCAAACTCCTGGGCTCAAGTGGTCCGGTAGTCTCAGCCTTCCAAAGCGCTGGATCCCTTACAATCATTACTTTTAAAGAAGGCGAAAGTGTTGAGGTCATGCACTACGGGATGGGAAATGTACATTCATCCTTTATCTTCATCTCCAGAACTTTAATGTGGGGATTTTATATTTTATAGGCCTAAGGTAGCCATAGTTTCTACCTTTCCTCAAGTGTATCCTAGACCAAGAAGAATAAGTTGTTTGCATCTTTCTTATGTGGAATCATATTCATGGTGAAAAATTGGATTCTACAGCTAGGGTTTGTTCACCAGATATTAAGTTCATGCTTATTATACGTCAAGCAGCCAGGTGTATTCACGGTCCCAAACAAAGTGCTTCCTCTTTGGGAATTTACATTTTAGTGAAGGGCGACAGTAATGAGCATGTAATGCACAGAATTTCAGATGTAGACAAGTTCTGTGAAAAAATATTTCAAGGGTTAATAAGAAGCCTTAGAGGACCTAGGAGGATGGGAAGGGTTAGCTATTTCATACAGTGGCACCAGAGAAGGCTTTAAACTTGAACAAAGCCCAGTGGTAAAAGAAACGACATTAGAAAATGTTTTGGAATGAATGAAAGCAAAAATACAACATACTAAAACTTATGCACTGTAGCGAAAGCAATGCTGGTAGCGAAAGTTATAGCTGTAAATGCCTACTATAAAATATCTTATTAAATCAATAACCTAACTTTCCACCTCAAGGAATTAAAAGAGCAAACTTAACTCAAAGCTAGCAAAAGGAAGGAAATAAAAAGATTAGAACTGAGATAAATGAAATCGAGACTAGAAAAACAATGCAGAGAATCAACAAAACCAGAAACTGTTCTTTTTTAAAGATCAACAAAATTGACAAGTTTGCTAGACTGATTAAGATAAAAGAATAAAGATGCAAATAACTAAAATCAGAAATGAAAGTAGGGACATTTCTATTAACTTTGCAGAAATAAAATTAATTATAAGACAATACAATGAACAATTGTTAACACCAAGTTAGAGCACCTACATGAAACTAACAAGTTGCTGGAAACATGAAAATTACTGACTCAAGAAGAAATAGAAAATTTGAACTGATAGCAAGTAAAGAGATTGAATCAGTAATCAGAAGGCTCCCAGCAAAGAAAAAAGTTCAGGGTGAATGGCTTCACTGGTGAATTCTACCAAACACTTAACGAATTAACACCAATCTTTCTCAAACTCTTTCAAAAAATTGGAGAGGAGAGAATACCTCCTAACCTTCTATAAAGTGATAAGGCAATTAAGCTTTCCCTTAAGGTCATGAAGGAGACACAAACCCCTGCTGTCACCAGTGCTGTTCACCATTGTACTGAAAGTTCTAGCCAGGGCAGTTTTGCAAGGAAAAAAAAAAAAAATTCAAATGAGAAGAGAAGCGAACTTGAGCAGAGGTGTGAAAGAAGTGACAAATTTTGGTTGCCCGCTCTTGGAATTTCATGGGGATGTACTAACTTGTAAGTTAAGTGAGAAACCTATATCTTGATTTCTATTGAACATTATTCCTCAAATCAAGTAAGCATAGGAATGTTTTCACTTCTCAGGGGTTCATTTGTTGAATGCTCTTTGCCTCATTTCTGCTGTGAAATCGGAGTGCCCACAGTTGCTTAATCTTAATCCTGGAGTTCTGTAGATTCAGGGATTGCCATCGTTCTTTTTTTTTTTTTTTGAGACAGGCTTTCACTCTGTCACCCAGGCTGGAGTGTGATGGCCTTAGGTGATCCTACTTCCTATTAGCTGTAATTATAGGTGCACACCACCATACCTGGCTAATTTTTTAATTTATTGTATTGTAGAGATGAGGTCTCACCAAGTTGTCCAGGCTGGTCTTGAACTCGTGGGTTTAGGCAATCCTCTTGCCTCCGCCTTTCAAAGTGCTGGGATTACAGGCATGAGCCACTGGGCCTGGGTACCATTATTCTTTTGTGATAATTTTTCTGTTCACCTCTTGGTTGGCTGAAATGTTTTTTCTCTGAGAAGAGTTTCTGGAGATAAATAGTTCTTAATTTCTTGTGTATTCAAAGATGTTTGTAGTATTCTTAGCCTTGAATAGTTTGATGTATAAACTTCTTCACACCTTCTTTCCCTGAGGAATTTGTAAGCATTGCTCCATTGTCTTCTGGCACTACATGATGTGGTGGGGAAGAAGGAAGCCAGTCTCATTTTTTCCATCTTGTACACATTTGAGCTTTTCCCCTGAAAAGATTGCTTCTTTATCTTCGACACATACTGAGTCCATTAGGATATGTCAGCATGCCCAGTCTTTTTTTTTAGTTGGAGTCTCACTCTTGTTGCCCAGGCTGGAGTGCAGTGGCACACTCATGGCCACCACAATCTTAACATGCTGGGCTCAGATGATCCTTCCTCCTCAGCCTTACAAGTAGCTGGAGCTACAGATGAACGCCACCAAGCCCAGCTACTTTTTGTGATTTATTGTAGAGACAAGATCTCACCAAGTTACCCAGGCTTGGTGCACTTGAACCCCCAGACTCAGGCAATCCTCTCGCCTCAGCTTCCCAAAGTGCTGGGATTACAGGCTGAGCACCGTGCCCGGCCTGCCAGTTCATCTTAAGGTATGGTTGGACTTTAGATCCTGGGTCAACAAGTGTTATGAAGATTTTTAAAAAGATATGTTTCTAAAGCTGGGTGCGGTGGCTCACATCTGTAATCCCAGCACTTTGGGAGGCTGAAGTGAGAGGATTACCTGAATCCAGGGGTTTGGGACCAGCCTGGGCAACTTGGCAAGACCTCATTCTACAATAAACCAAAATAAAATATTAGCCGAATGTGGTGGCACATGCCTGTGGTTCCAGCTCCTTGGAAGGCTGAGGCAGAAGGATCACATGAGCCCAGCAGGTCAAGGCTGTGGTGGCTGTGAGCGTGCCACTGCACTCCAGCCTGGGCAACAGAGTGAAACTCCTACTAAAAAAAATTTTAAAGACAGTAAATTAATGTGCCAGCTGCAGTGGCTCATTCCTATAACCCTAACACTTTGGGAAGCCAAGGTGAGAGGATTGCCTGAGCCCAGAGGTTTGTTACCAACCTGGGCAACTTGGTGAGACCTTCTGTCTACAGTTAAAAAAAATAAAAATAAACATAGCCAGGCATGGTGGTGTGTGCCTGGGCAACAGAGTGAGACTCTGACTCAAAAAAAAAGGGGGTGGGGGGAGAAAGAAATTAATGGAAAAGTTGTTCTTTTATGCTGTTGTGGGTGAAATATGAAGTGTGATTCATTTGTACTAATTTTTTTATAAGTTGGATCAAATCTCAGAAGATTTCCTTTAATCACTTTTAATTTTTTTTTTTTTTTTTTTTAGGTAGAGTTTATACAGTGTATCAGCTGAGTGATGATATTGATGTTGGTCGTTTCCAAACACTAATGGAATGTTTTACCAGCACTTTTGAAGAAGTGAAAATTTTAGCATTTGATCTTCTGATGAAGTTATCAAAAACAGCTATACGATTTCAGGTATTTGGACTTTCCTATATAAATGTAGTATATGCTTGAAAACTTTCAATTTTAGTGGCAGATAGCGCAATCAGGATTGTCCATGCTCCATGCATCTTGCCTTCTTATGTCTTTGGACTGTTTGTTTCCATTTTCGTTAATACCCTTCTGCTATTTGGGGGTTGATGGGAAAGGTGGAAATATCGTAAAAGAAAACAAGACTCAAATCAGTGAACTTTGCTTTTCTTATTGCTCTGACAAAAAGGGAGGGTTGTAGGAGGGAGTAGGTTTTATTGTTTACAAGATTATTGGTAGATTTCTGTTAACTGTGGTCTCCCCAGTTCCTTTGGACATGTAATATTCGATCAAAGCACATCACTTACAGTAACTTGCGTTGTTGAGATAATCTTCCTGCTCTGTACACTGGGAAGCTGAATAGAAATGAGGTACAGAATGTGCTTCTGGTTTTTCAACTAGCAATAGCTAAACTGAGACTGAAACTCGGTACATGAGGTTGCTAGCAGTCCTACATGCTCCCCCTACGTCCGCAGCCCCCGCGTTTTTCCTGACACAGTGCCCTTCCGACCTTTGGGTAGGAACCAAAGATGGGCTTGGGAGTGAAGGCACAGCATGGGGATGGGTCCTCAGGACCCCCGAGCCCAGGCTCTCAGCTCTGCCCTGGAGGTTTCTTTGAGGGCTTTTGGGTCACCAGCAGAGTACTGATCTCAGGCTTTGCTATGGCTTTCTGTTAGAGTCCCGTAAAAGCCAAGGGCACTGCTGCAACTGAGCCATGGACGGTCTGGGTGCTGGTTGTCTGGCTGTATTTAGGGCATGGCAATTTGTGGATGCGGCAGGATCTGTAGGAACGCATGCTGCAAAGCAGTGTCTGTTTTGTGGTGTCTCAATGGCTTTGCAAGATCTCAGAACCTCTTTTCTGACTTGGGTCCAGATTGGGAGTTGCTCTTCAGCATCCACCTATAGGGTGATCTTTCAGGTGCCCTGCTGAGCAGAAGTTTCTTTGGTGCTTAGGCTGCTAACTTTTGTACCGTATCTGGCAGGGTTTTTTTGCTTTTTTAGAGTCAGTGTCTTACTCTGTCGCCCAGGCTAGAGTACAGAGGTACGATCACGGCTCAAGCAGCCTCCAACTCCTAGGCTCAGGCGATCCTCTTGCCTTAGCTTCGAAAGTAGCTGAAACTACAGTTGTATGCAACCATGCCTGGCTACTTTCTAATTTTTTGTAGAGACAAGATTTCACTATGTGGTTCAGGCTGGTCTCAAACTCCTGGGCTCAAGTGATTTTCTCGCCTCTGCTGGGATTACTGGCATGAGCCACCGCACCCAACTCCTCTGCTGGGATTACTGGCATGAGCTACGCACCCGACTCATTTGAGTTTTAAAAGAAGAGACTTTCTCTTCCTCTCCTTATGTTTGTCAGTGGAACCTGGTATTGTGTATACAGCTGTGCCTCATTTTGAGCAAATATGTTGAGAGTACCTGGAGTGGGGAAGGCATCTTGAAGCATATATATGAAAGACCTGGTTCTTACATAAACTACGAAGGGCCTTAGGGGCCTCTGCCTCTCTAATTTGATAAATATGTGTTTCATAAATTGCCACTAACTGTAGAATTCAGGACATTTAGTACCGCATGTGACTTGATACAGGAATTTTGGTTATATGCTTTGGTCTGACTTGCACATTAGTCAAGGAATAGGCATTCAAGATTTTAAAATATTAATTCTATATTCAGAGTCTTTCTTTGAATATACCCTATATAATATGTAATTAATCCTTTCATATAGTTAAGTTTAATGCAGTTTTTGAATGCTAACCTAACCTCTCTAAGGACCTGTACGCATGTATTTTTGATGGCCTATCTTTCTGATACCTAACTTTAGTACTCACCTCATTCACTGCCCTTCTTTCTGTAGTGTTACATATTCCTACATCTTACTTTATGTTATATTTTGATTGACCCAAGATGATGGAACACAGATATTTTAGACTTCAAAGGCTCTTTACTCTGTTTCCTTTTTTTTTAGATTGGAAAATATAGTTTATTTAGGAAGTAAATTAGAAAGAGAGAAGAGAGAGGAGATTCACCTGCCCAAGGTAGAGAAGAGGGCGAAAGCTTAGAAAATATGGAGGTGGCCATAGCTCAAAGAACACATGGTTATACCAGAGCTTAGTAAAGCAGTGGCCTATTCTGTTTCTTACTAATGGTTAGTAAAGCAGTTTAGGGACTGTCAGTTTAAAAACGACTTAGGTGCTTAGTTGATTCCTTGTAATATTTATTTAGATTTGAGCTTTCGGCTACTGACTTTTAAATTTTTTAGGGCATAGAAAATTAAACATATCAAATGGCAAAGGATTTAAATGGAAATAAACTGATATTTAAATCAGTATTTTTGATATCTACTATTTTGAAGTTGTAAGACATCATTCAGTTTAGTGGGCCTGTAATCAACTTCAAAATTAAGCTTATGATTTTTTTTTCTTATATTAGATAGTTATGGAATATCGTAGAAGAATCAGAATATTTTTGAGCAACCAAACCTGGACTTTCTTTTTATTTTTTTTTCCCGGACTTTCTGAGTGGTGAACGTAAGTTACCTGTTGAGTTGAGACTGGGGTTTGCCTAATGTTGTCAGCCCGGTGCCTTTCCTTGGCTGTTAGAGTGAACTGTCTCTCCTTTTTTTGGTCTTCTTTATCAGTGGATGTTTAAATGAAATTTAGGTGAGGGAGCTCTGATGCAGAATTTCTGAAGCTGATCTGATCATTCTGTTGTTTTCCACACACATATGTGAAGTTTTGCCAGGTGCAGCCTCCTGGTGGGTTTGTATTTTTCTCCAGTGAAACTAGCAGTATAGGAGGGAGAAAGGGAGAATCTGCTAGAGTATGATGCTCAGGTAAAACAAACCCTGAAGGATAAAAGAGCTCTGCTTTGTATAGGAATAATGAAGGTGTTTGGCTATAGTCACAGCAAGATTTCTACAGGACAAAGGACACATTAACTGAAAAAAGAGTCAGGTTTTTTTTTTTTTTGGAGAGTAGCTTTTAAGTTTTTTTTTGTTTTTTTTTTTTTAGTTGGAGTCTCACTCTGTCACTCAGACTGGAGTGCAGTGGCCACTTCTGGCCAC